GGGGGGATCCTCTGTTCCCGGAGGATCCCGAGGGTCCCTCTGGGATTCCCGGAATTCCCGGAATTCCCGAATTTCTGCCCTCGGGGGCTCAGCGCCTTTTCCTGCGCATCCGGCACCGGCAGCGAGGGCCCGAGGGCGGCCGGAGAGCGGCCGAGGGAGGCCGGGGAGACAGGGAGCACGACGACGGTGAGGACATCCCAAAAATCCCAAAAATCCCAAAAATCCTGAGCCAAAAAATCCCCAAAATCCCGAAAATCCTGGGCCAAAAAATCCCCAAAATCCCGAAAATCCTGGCCCAAAAAATCCCGAAAATCCTGGTCCCAAAAATCCCAAAATCCCGAAAATCCTGAGCCAAAAAATCCCCAAAATCCCGAGCCAAAAAATCCCCAAAATCCTGAGCCAAAAATTTCCCAAAATCCCGAAAATCCTGGCCCAAAAAATCCCGAAAATCCTGGTCCCAAAAATCCCTAAAAATCCTGAAAATTCTGAGCCAAAAAATCCCAAAATCTCGAAAATCCTGAGCCAAAAAATCCCCAAAATCCCGAGCCAAAAAATCCCGAAAATCCTGAGCCAAAAAATCCCGAAAATCCTGAGCCAAAAAATCCCAAAAATCCTGGCCCAAAAAATCCCGAAAATCCTGATCCTAAAAATCCCCAAAAATCCCGAAAATCCTGAGCCCAAAAATCCCCAAAATCCCGAAAATCCTGAGCCAAAAAATCCTGAAAATTCTGGTCCCGAAAATCCTGAAAATTCTGAGCCAAAAAATCCCAAAAAATCCTGATCCCAGTCCTGGTCCCGGCCGGGGAGACAGGGAGCACGACCACGGTGAGGACACCCCCAAAATCCTAAAAATCCCAAAAATCCTGAGCCAAAAAATCCCAAAATCCCGAAAATCCTGAGCCAAAAAATCCCGAAAATCCTGGCCCAAAAAATCCCGAAAATCCTGATTCGAATAACCCCAAAAATCCCGAAAATGTTGAGCCAAAAAATCCCAAAATCCCGAAAATCCTGAGCCAAAAAATCCCGAAAATCCTGATTCGAATAACCCCGAAAATCCTGGTCCAAAAAATCCCAAAAATCCCGAAAATCCTGGTCCAAAATATCCCGAAAATCCTGAAAATTCTGAGCCAAAAAATCCCAAAAAATCCTGATCCCAGTCCTGGTCCCGGGCCGGGGAGACAGGGAGCACGATGACGGTGAGGACACCCCCAAAAATCCCGAAAATCCCAAAAATCCTGAGCCAAAAAATCCCAAAATCCCGAAAATCCTGGCCCAAAAAATCCCGAAAATCCTGGTCCCAAAAATCCCTAAAAATCCCGAAAATCCTGAGCCAAAAAATCCCCAAAATCCTGATTCGAATAACCCCAAAAATCCCGAAAATCCTGGTCCAAAAAATCCCCAAAAAATCCTGATCCCAGTTCTGGTCCCGGCCGGGGAGACAGGGAGCACGACGACGGTGAGGACATCCCCAAAATTCCAAAATCCAAAATTCTGATCCCAAAAATCCCCAAAATCCCGAAAATCCTGAGCCAAAAATTCCCAAAATCCCGAAAATCCTGAGCCAAAAATTCCCAAAATCCCGAAAATCCTGAGCCAAAAAATCCCGAAAATCCTGATTCAAATAACCCCAAAAATCCCGAAAATGTTGAGCCAGAAAATCCCGAAAATCCCGAAAATCCTGAGCCAAAAAATCCCGAAAATCCTGGTCCCAAAAATCCCTAAAAATCCTGAAAACTCTGAGCCAAAAAATCCTGATCCCAGTCCTGGTCCCGGCCGGGGAGACAGGGAGCACGACGACGGTGAGGACATCCCAAAAATCCCCAAAATCCCAAAAATTCTGAGCCAAAAATTCCCAAAAATCCCGAAAATCCTGGGCCAAAAAATCCCCAAAATCCCGAAAATCCTGGTCCCAAAAATCCCAAAATCCCAAAAATTCTGAGCCAAAAATTCCCAAAAATCCCGAAAATCCTGGGCCAAAAAATCCCCAAAATCCCGAAAATCCTGGGCCAAAAAATCCCGAAAATCCTGGTCCCAAAAATCCCAAAATCCCGAAAATTCAGAGCCAAAAAATCCTGAAAATCCTGGTCCCAAAAATCCCTAAAAATCCTGAAAATCCTGGTCCCAAAAATCCCAAAAAATCCTGATCCCAGTCCTGGTCCCGGCCGGGGAGACAGGGAGCACGACGACGGTGAGGACACCCCCAAAATCCTGAAAATCCCAAAAATCCTGAGCCAAAAATTCCCAAAAATCCCGAAAATCCTGAGTGTCCTGATGCTAAAAATCCCAAATCGCAGTCCTGATCTCAATCCTGCTTCTGCTCCTGCTCCCAAACCCCAAATCCCCAAACCCCAACTTCCAACCTCAAATCCCAATCCTGCTCCCAAACCCCAGTCCCAAATCCCCAAA